AAATTTCTACATTGCAGAAGTAAGTGTCCACTTCTCCCTCGAATTCATTGAATTTTGAGGAAGCAATCAAATAATTAGCGGTTTTCAATGTCGAAATTTTCCACTCGACTATTAAGATAAAAACCTTGGAGCAGTGTACAGACGTTTACACCATATATCATTCAACCAGGTATTAACTGTATCTTCAACAATTTAGGAGACATCATCAGTCATTAAATAGGCACGGTAAATAAATCCCTAAAATAAATCGCTCTGTAAGTCCTTGGCATTGATGCTGACCTCATTTGTTTCACTGAACACAGTCTTGTCTGAAGCGCTTTGTCACACATCCGCACCGAATTTCGAGCAGGTAACTGTGATAATTAGAAGTATTTGGATTATTGTACAAGCTAGGAGCCACAGAAACAACTTAATTCAACGAAAATGTGCTAGATGAGCACGAACGAAGGTACTGTATTTGAAATTCGAAATCAAGCAGTCATCACGAACAATAGAATCATTAGTTCACACAAGTACCACATCCTGCAGTTTAAATTGGAATCAAAATTTCCGTAATCGACTGCACTTCCTCTTAGGTTCATGCTGTGTCTGTGCTACTGTGCACCCTGGAAACGTATTTGATCAACATGTTGGCTGTGTGTAACTAACTCATTAATATCTAGATATCAAACCATTTCAAATCCACATTTTTCACCAAAATCCACGTGGCTGGCTAAAGATCACTTGCTTGATAATATGTAATTTCTGCAGAATTCAAACACATAATATTCAAACGAAGAATTCTTCCTTTTAATAGTTTTGACTGAGTCTCTTCCGTTAAAGACTTTTTATCATTTCCATTTTGCAGTAAGAATGTATCTACTCACCTTTCCAGTTCATTAAATGTTGAAGTGTCAATAGAATCAATAGTAGATATCAATGTTCTGACCATCAGAACAATCCCGCATGAAAGCCATAAAAACATGTTCACACCTTATAACATTTCTCGAGATGGTGACAGAATCCGCAGCATAATGAGAGTTATGATCGGTCACCAACACCATGAGGGCCCATTCTGGAACAAACACCTCTCTGAATGCCTGGACTGTGAAATCAGAATTCCGTTCACATGGTTTTGGACGTAATTGAAGAGGATTCCGCTTAACGCGATTCCGTGTTTAGTGGCGATGGATCATCAACACCTCCAGGCACGAACCTAGGTATATTAACGATAATAGAGGAAAACGTAATTGGTAAATCATAGTATGATATTGTGGTGGCATTAGACCATAACCACACAATCTTCAAGGCTGAACACAAAACTACTCAGAAAGTAGATATTCAATATTTAACATGGAGAAATACCTAACAATGGAGAAGGCGCGAACAATGAATTGAATGGACTGGAGTTGATCAGATGGCATGGCTCGACCATGCGGGCGTGGTCCATCTGAATGTTACCTTATATCTTCTATTCATATTAAATATATTGTTCTTTCTCTAGCCTAACCTTGTTCCACATCATGTATTGGTAACTGATACGATACAGTGAGTTGGTGTAGTCGATGGTGTGACTTTCACGTAAGATCTTATAGATTAGGCAGTTATATCATAACGAATCTACAATTTTGGGACTAGGTCTATTATTAGAGCAGCACTAATGTTATAGTAGACCATAATTCTACAATATTATCCTTAGTCCTTAAGAATAGGTCATGTTGCCTCTTAAAGGACTCCTGAAAAGTCGCTTGGACTAGCTCAGTCGACAGCGAATTCCATCGTTTCACAACTCTTGGGAAGCAGAATTTGTGGCTACAGTCCGTTCTGCTGTGTCGTGTCTCTAGTTCCTGGGTGTTACCCCTTATGTTTTTGTCGCAGGTAAACTTAATTGGGTGTTTAAGGGAATGTCCAGAAGTGTTAAGGATACTGTAGGCCATTCATTAGAAGATCACCTCTAAGACGCCTATACTGTAATGGGTAAAGGTTTAGTGACTGGAGACGCTCTTCATAAGGCTTGGATTCGAGTCCCCGAACTGATTTCATGGCTCGCCGTTGGATACTCTCCAAAGTGTCCTTCTCCCTTTGGAATGAGGGAGGAAATACTATGTTTCCGTATTCTAAATGGGAACGAATGAAACTGTTGAAGATTATGTGGAAAGTTCTTCCGTCAAACTGGCCCAAGATGCGCTTCAATGTTACCAGTGCAAGGTTTGCTCGAAAGGCATTTTTTTCACAGTTAGCGTAAGACTTGAAACCGTAGGGTAACAGAACTCCTAAACCTTTTTCGACTCGGAATGCTACTAGAGAGGAGTTTCTTAAGTTGAAACTGTAGTCTGCAAAATGTCTCAGATGGACTACTTTACATGTTGAAGTGTTAAAGGTAAGTCCGTTGTCGTCTGCCCAAATTTGAAGTCGGGTCAGATCGTTCTGAAGTGCCAGTATATCCTCACGGTTGCGTATCTCTCTCCAAAGTCTCACATCATCAGCAAAAAGTGATAAGTCTGAGGATACCTGTTGTGGAAGGTCGTCTATAAAAATTAAGAAAATAAGATATCCTGGTATTAAATACTGGGGGACCCCACTAGGACACTCCATAGCCTGAGAAAAAGTGAGGTTAACCCTGACCTCAGAATGTCGAATCTTCAGACACAAAGTGAGCAAATCAATTAAAGGTCATTTGATACCCAACAGTTTGACCTTATTGATTCCTTCAGTTGTATATTATATAAGTCATATCTTATTCCAATTGAGATGGTAGAATTCGTATTATATAATAGTGTTTACATTCCTTACACCTTCATTGACTTTCCATGTTTATCCCTAAACTGCATTTACATTATTTTAGTCGATACTTAGTTTTCATGGCAGTTCTTCATCGAGTTCTGTGTTCATATTCACAAGTCTCACGGAGAAATTGAGGTCCCATGAAGTGAGTAACCTCGAAGTATGAATCGCATACTTCTATGAATTCTTGACAATTTGATGGTAATACTTTACAACTAGCACATAATAAACTTAATTTTACGATCCATGCCTGCCATACATTTTTTCATGACAAAAAAGCTATCGAGCTTAAGTGAATTGGAGTTCTTATAAAGACACCTGAATTCCGTAGAGTTTAACTAAAACTATACCTCATGAGTACTAAAGTGAGTAAAATGTGTATTCTGGATTTCTTTGGCAGTCATTATCAAAAGTATAATCATCGTTGAGTTAAACGAGTGAACAAATAGAGAAAGAATATTTCCTTTCAACTAAGTTCCCAACAATTACAGGTCAGTTTGTTTATAGTTTTACTACGCCGTCACTGAGTTTCCACGTTTATCCCTGAACTACATCTATATTGTTTTAGTTGATACTTAGTTTAGATGGCAGCCATATTGGTTTGTTCCCCCTTTGATTGTGTTGCTTGCATTGACTAGAACTGTGCATTTTTGATTGTGAATTGAAACACTCTTCCAGAATTAGAAACACTCTGTGTTATAAAGCAACCAAATATTATTTTTTGAACGAATCTGTACGTGATCTATCCAGAAGGGATAGAATAACATTCATTTGTTGCGCTTGATTCGATCACTAATTGAACAACTATAGGTTGAATAATTGGGTGAACTGTCATTTACCCAATCATCTTGTTTTGGTCTCAACTGGACAATAGCGCGTATCTAAACGACTTGGACAGTTGTTTTTCAGTTCGAACCTCAGTTCGGATTCTACACATGTATAAAGAATTAGCATCTCTTATTAGCAATTCACAGCATCTTCGTATGGATAGACTGTGTCCAGTAATCCCCAATATTGAGACTTCAGTGAGTCTTGCCACAACGTTAGGATCTAAAGATTTTAAGTTTCTGGATGAAATAATGGACTCTATACTACCTGTCTCCAATCAAGTCATGAATCGAATCAAGGGATGTATATGATCGCTTTTGAATATGAACATTACCTTTCGAAGTGGTGTCCGATCTCATCACATTTATAATACTTTTCGAAATATCTAAATAATTAGTTATGCTAGAAATGAGAGATAATGAGATACTGAAGCCAGGTGGACAAAAGGCAGCAACTAGCTTCAATAGACTCAGGATTTCAACTATTGAAATTACTAAAATCTCCACAAAACCTCTTCTAACGCTATCTTATTTTTGTTTACCCAAAGATGTCGTTTAGTGTAAGGCTACTTTTGAAAACGAAATATGTAATACTTTATAATTTCCATTGGGTTTCACTGACCTACAGAATTAAGCTGTCAAATAGTATTTACAACCTCAGGAAATCTATAAATCAATTAAAAAATAACTCATCTGTTTGAGAATATTTACTGATAAGATTTACTGATAATAAAAATCTTTTTTAAGTCATCCGTACATATCCTACAAAGAATGAATAATGAGCAAGGTCACTAATAATCGCAATAGCAAACATCCTTAAAATCCTGAAATATAATACCCTGGAGATGCATACTAGGAGTATAATGCCAGATGAATTATTTCACTGGATACTGAAATGATAATAACAGTTTCAATGACAATTTATTACAAGTTGAATAAAATCACTCATATAATACAACCAACAATACAGAAGTATTAGATTATGTTTACAGTTATTGTTAATATGACTATTTTTTTTATTGTGGAAGTGAATCCTTGTAGAATGATTTCACTTACTACATAACCTCATATATCCATTAATTACTTACAACCCTCTTTATTAACTCTAATGACTAAAACAGCAAACAAAATACAACAGAAATAAGCAGTAAACCTATCTGAAGAATCACACATTTAAAAAACACTTAAGAATAAGTATACTATTATACAGTAACATTAATGATATGTGAATTTTGTCAAACAATGTACAGTTCATAGAATAAACATTTTAGCTTCGAGAAAGACAAAATAAAGCAAGTGCATATACCTTACAAAAGATGTGAATAACCTTTAGAAATTACACAAAAACAAAACAACAATAATAAAGACATCACCAATAATACCAACAGAAACTACCTATTGTATTTTTCTTTAAAGTTTACATAAACAAAAGAGAATTGGTAGAAATGCTCCAACCGATACTATAAAAGGTAAGATTAAATAGGAATAGTCCACAGAAGCATAAGGATCTTTTGCTCTTGGTGTTCTAGATGGTCTCTGTTGCACAGATTCCAGGTCTTCTTCTTCTTCATCATCAGAATCAGATAACTTATGGGGATGTAACACCTGTTGATCAAATGTTTCTACTTCTTCTAACGGTGGTAATTGAGGGACATCTAGATAATGGAAAGATACTTAAAATGATTTACGACATATTAAATCCATACTAGGAACAGAAGCGTATAAACACTAGTTAGCTGATAATTTACTTCATCCGGAAAACACACTGAAAATCAGGTAACGAATCAACTGGAGTTGAAAAGAACAACCGTACAATTCCGACACAATGATCTAAGTATCGTGTCGCATAAAGTAAGTCTTGAGAGTATTCAAGTTAAGCGAGATCTCTTAATTCACCATCAAAAACCATCTTGGAATCATGGTTTCTCAACATCTCCATATAAATCATGAGATGATAAAGGACAAGTGAACAAATGCATAACTCTACACTTATCACAAAGTGATGAGTGTTGATAACTTCTTTTTGGAAAAATTGTCTATAAAAAATAATACTATATTAGAGAACAATCACACGCTTATACATTAATTCAATAAGCAAACCGTATGCATACATCAAACCCTATTAGTATTTGGACATAACTACAATAGACACTAAAAGCGGTACCTCTGAAATTGTTTTTACAGCTTAAAAACTATCCAATGAAATCCCTAAACCCATGAAATTCATTCATTCAATGAAGGTTAAAGAGACGAAAGTAAATTTGTCTAGATTGACATCTAAGATAAGATGTGAAAATTGATACCCTGAATAAAAACATTTTAAGCACTCAGTAATGAGCTTCAGTCATTGTAGGGCCTCACCGGTTTCTTTGTAAACAGCCATTGAACGAAACTGTTTTTCAAGGGTTATGATAATCCCCACTTTAATAAAGTACACAAACGATTAAGCTGCATGACCTAATTCCAAGATCTTAAATAGTTATACAGAATCTTTATGAAAATTAATAATAATAAGACAACCAGTATTGATATCAAATATAAATGTTTGGCACATAATTACGAAACTTTGTTTAGGTATTTCAACTGGTCCACATCGATCGGATTAAAAATTGATTTGTCTCTTTCAATCAACATCTGAAAACTCAAATCGATTTTATCAGACGAATGACCAAGTCAGGTTGAATCACTATTTTGAAAACATTTAACAGCATCAATGCGTATTTAGCTGATAATAATTTTAGACAGCATGGGTATGACATTAACGTTACGAGTAACCAGAACTAATTAATGCCGATTACAATTTTTGTGTTTGTTGGTGAATTGTTTAAACTACTAAATATGTTAGGATGTGTGTATTATTTGGTTAGTTCAAAGAGCCTAAAAATGTGACTTTTAGGCAAAACATAGCTTGCGCCTATTTAGTGCTGATGTTAGACAAGGAAGTAACCAAAAAGGTTCTCGTGAAATCGAAATCCATAATATATATATATACTGAAAGTATAGAAACGGAACTAGCAAAGATAATATTGAGAGATAATTGAGTAAAATAACTATTGATTCTAAACTATAACAAAACAGTATACATAAGAAAAGATTACCTTCTATTGAGCCTTTAGTAACAACAATAGCATTGATTTTCGGATTATCAAATTGAGTCTTAACGAAAAAAATAAATAAAATATTATCAATTTTAGGTTACTTTAATAAAGTCCACAGTAAAATGATCGTCATCGATATTGACTGTATGTTCACCAATATATATTACTCCATCTTTTATTTTAAGTGGCACATTTAAATCGAACGCAGTAGCAAAGCCAACTTGACCAAAAATATCCAAGTTTTGAACAAGTGGGAGTGAATTTTGAATATGAACATCGAATACCTGGGGTGATATCAAAAAAACATGATAGAGATTCAGTAATGATTGATTTATTATTTATCTACTTAAACGTATAAACATTTATACAAGGAGGCACCGAATATATATGCGCTGTGCTGGAATACTTCCCGGGGATCCAAACCGAAACCGGTATTTTTCTTAGGAGGCCACTCCCCGAGCCTTTGAACTAGAAGTCTAATCCACAAGGCAGTGGAACAACTTTAGGAGATGCAGTCCCATAGTAGCCGGTGACCAACAATAGGTTCATATATCATTTGTTCGCTCAAGATCCTGGAGTACATGTGAACTATTGGTTCGGAATCAGAGTCTTGCAACTCCCCTACATTTCGTAAACAACACCCAGGCCGAGAGAAGGCAATGGATGTGTCTTCCCTGACAGTGTCTGTATACACATGCCGATGTAAGAGCATTTCCCTCGGGGGAAATGACTGATTAAATACTAGCAAACGTTTGCTGGAATTAATTATAGGAAATAAATAATTACGAAATATCAAGAAAGTGAGTTTATTTAATTTTTTAATTCAAACTAATGATTCAATATACACAAAAATTCTATCTTTGACCTAAATTTCGTAGTTCATGCGACGGCCATTTATCAACTAACTTATACTGTATTAAGTTACTACACTACATATTTTACAGACGCTATTTTGTAGCACAGAACTTAGCTTGTTGTTTTCATTGCGACTCATATTTATATAGTGATTTCTGTATTAACTCCTTTCTTATTATCAACCGGTAATAATTAGTACCGTTAGTATAGTTTAATACTAACCTCTGTAATTAATGTATATCACTATGTGAATTTTAATCACTGAATGATTTTAACTGAAAGGCATAATGTCTTGGTACAAAAATATAAATGAACCAGGTTTAAGTACTTAAGTACAGAAGAAATCGATAGGTAACACAATGCACTTATTATCAACTGTTAACGACTTCATTTTTCGAAAAAAGAAAATACTGTACAGACATGATTTAAACTGTTATGTGTTTAGGAAAAATTTTTAAACCGATTTATCTGCATATGAATAAGATAAGAAAAACGCATGTCTGCATAAAAAGGAAGCAATAATAGTATTGACGAGCAACAAGTCTAGCTTAGACATATACACCCTGATTGATTTGGATTGTCACTAAAAATGTAACCTTAGGTAAAATCTCATGACCAATACCTCTGTTAATTGAAGCATAGTTGAAAACTGAATGTTTGAGCAATTAAACTAGAACTCCAGAATACCTATAGTCCGTAAGCTAATAAATAAACTTTCCTAGGCAATAAATTCCCGACCGTTGTTGCTACCTTGACGTGGTGGTCGGGCTTGCCTATCGTGATGACCCAACCGAGCTATACCGGCTGGAACAACCGTTCCTCAAGGTCCTACCATGTCAGACAGATCGGTTGAAGAGCGATAAGACTAAAAGCAACAAACCCAAGGTCCGAAGGCGAAGTCGTACTGCTGACTGTACAGAGGTGTGACAGCAGTAAGGTTTCCTTCGGACAACCAGCATGACAGCGATGCTGCCTTCCCAAAAGGAGGGGTGGGGTTAGAAAAGGTCCACCCTAAAAATGCACACCTCGCCTTATCCCACGGATATCCGTCTCCGGCGGTAAGGTCTCAACAAGTACGGAGCTAACATAAAAATTACCCATAAAGAGGTTGTGTGACCGACCTCAAGCAGTTGTCCCTTCGGCACTGCGGTCACGCTCCAAGGTCACTAAGACCACCTCGAATCCAATTTCCTTTTCACGTACCTTCAGAAGAACCCTTCCATGGTTTGGGTAACCGGGAAGTGATAACCACCCTCATACCTCTAACAGCTGTCAAGCCCACTGTATTCACAATCAACCTTCCTCTTCAATTCCTATTATTCCTCCTATATCGACTTTCAACGCTAAATTATTTTGCTACCGTAAATTAAAACAGAACAGACTGCCGTGCAGTATACTCGTCTTTTTATTGGTAGACGGATATCTCGCCTTCGACATAGGTTTATGTACTTCTGAGGTACGCCTTTCAATGACAGACACTGCCACAAAACTTCTCGATCTACAGTCAAGTGCTGCTTTTAAGTTAAGAAAGGCCACCATTGTCGGACGCCGATAAGTATGCCTGTGTTCTAGAACCTGACGAATGGTGAATATATGTGGGGTGCAGCCATGACCAGGTCTGAAGCCAGCTTGATTCTCTAGTGTCTGCAGTTCACTAGTCTTAATTAGGCGTCTGATAATTATCGAGGCTAGTATTTTAGATACTATATTAGTCGAACTAATCCCTCTATGGTTGTCACAGGATGATTTTGACCCTCTCTTATATATTGAGACGATAAGTGATTGTGACCAGTCAGATGGAATAACTTCTAACTCCCAGATCTTAGCTAACATATTAGTCAACCTAATCGCTAAAAATGGACCACCATTCTTAAAGACCTCTGGAGCCAATCCATCTGGACCAGATGCTCTTCCTCGTTTCAGATTAGCTATAGCCTTTGAACTTCAGTTAGAATCGAGGGACCTACTTTAATCTTCCATTCAGGCTGTGGATAGTTGTAGATTAACTGAAGACCAACTGAACTGTTTTTTAAAGTGTTCCGCCCATCGTTCTAAACGTCTCGATTGAGAGCAGATAAGCGTCGTAATTTTCCGAGATTTTATCACACTTGACTCGTTAATTCCGATTTCTTTTATTAATCTGAAAGGCTGTCGTTTTATCTACAGCCTTTGCCTTTTTCACCTATTTTGCTGTCGTTCCCCACCACTGGTCACGATCATTTTGTAGACTTTTGGTCAACCTAGATCTGATTTGTTTTCGCTCGTCATCGTGTTCGGATCGTAATGGAATAAGTTTACGAGAGTCTATTAGTGCAATAGATGTAGCAGAGATCTACTGGTTTTTGGTAACCCTTTGATTTAAATCAACAGTAGATGTCGCTGCTGTTTCTACAACTGTTCGTATATCTTTCTAAACTACATCTAGGTTAGCTTCGTTTTAAAAATTGCCTAAATTTGACTTCAGTTGTTCATTAAATTTACCGTTAACTTTCTTGTCGCTGAGTTCAATACTAATAAGTCTTCTTAATATTACTTTTCTGCGTCGGCACAATCGAATGCGTGATCGTATTAGAGCATGATGAGTTTAAACATGTATTCCAGAACGCGCGGCAGTCTTCTACACAAAGTGGCTATATCGAAGTAATGTGCACGAGATCCACACGCGACAAGAAAGACTAACCAAAATTCCGTTTTTGAATATCAACAGCATGATAATTCAAACTTTTACTAGCAATAATATCGGTGACTACCTCGGTTATTCATTTCATGCAAAATAAGAAACAAACTAAGCTAAATTCAATACACAAAATTATTTAAAGGTGCTTAGCTGTGGCACTGACATCGAAGCTGCTACCTTGACGCGGTGGTCGGGCTTGCCTATCGTGATGACCCAACCGAGCTATATTGGCTGGAACATATGTTCCTGCAGGTTCTACCATGCCAGGCAGGTCGATTGGCGAACGGTAAGACTAAAAGCAGCAATTCAAGGTCTGAGGGCGAAGTCGTACTGCCGACTGTAGAGAGGTGTGACAGCAGTAAGATGTTTCCCTCGGACAACCAGCATGGCAGCGATGCTGCCTTCCCACAAGGAGGGGTGGGGTTAGAAAAGGTCGACCCTAAAAATGCACACCTCACCTTACCTCACGGATATCCGTCTCCGGCGGTAAGGTCTCAACATGTACGGAGCTAACACGTCAAAAACCTTCCACAAAAAGGCCGTGCGCGACCGGCCTCAAGCAGTTGTCCCTTGGGCTCTGCGGTCACGCTCCCAGGTCGTCAAGACCAACACTAATCCGATTTCCTTTTCAGGTTCCTCAAGAAATACCCTTCCACGGTGTGGGCGGCCGGGAAGTGATATCAGCCCTCATACCCGTAACAGCATAAGAGATCAAGGTGGTCACATTCAAATCTTTCCTACACCTTCTAATACCTCTCTTATCTCCCCGACTAACCCTCCTCACGTCTCTTTATCACCTCGCACCGCCAGGGCAAACGATTCGAGTACGTGGAACGCCATCCCTGGTCTCCTGAAACCACGCTCTAGACTACACGTAGGAGCTTTTAACGTACGAACACTTTGCCAAATAGGACAGCAGGCTTCCTTAGCTAGGACTTTAGAATCTCGCGCCATCGATGTGTGCTGCGTCTCCGAAACGCGCATACAGGATCCAAGTAGCGTCATTCATTTGACCTCACCATGCCAAAATAAAGAACCGACTCGATTTACGCTTCGTGTATCTGGAAGCCCTGATTCTGCTTCCCGTGGCCTCGCCGGCGTAGGTATAGCATTGAGTCCTAGGGCAGAACTAGCTCTCTTAGAGTGGATCCCAGTAAACAGTCGTTTGTGCGCTGTCCGACTGAACGGAACAGTAAGAATCCGGAAAGATAGGGACACTCGTCGTTGCCTCTTCGTCGTCTCTGCCTATTCTCCCACTGACTGCAGCTCAGATGATGTAAAAGATGAGTTTTACAGAAAGCTTTCGGACCTTCTCCGAAAAGCTAAGCGCTCGGATGTAGTAATAGTGGCCGGTGACTTTAATGCTCAAGTAGGTAAACTAAGCGATAAGGAAAGACACCTAGGTGGATCCTATGGTGTCGTGGCTCAAAGAACAGATAATGGCGACCGTCTGTTGCAGCTATGCTCAGATAACCGCTTGTTCCTTGCAAATACTAACTTTAAGCGTAAGGAAAAACATCTTTTAACATGGCGACCCCCTAATTCGTCCCAACGTTGGACCCAAATAGATCACATCGCTATCAGCCACCGATGGAGGGGCTCGATAGAAGACTGTCGCTCATTCTGGAGCACATGCCTAGATTCAGATCATGCTCTAGTGCGAGCGCGTATTTGCTTGCGTCTTACTGGACGTAGGAAAGATCCTGCAAGGAAACCTCTTAGGGCCCTACTTAATGATAGTCAAGCTAAGAGTATATTTCAGGAACAATTAGGAAAACAGTTAGGCAGCCATGTATGTGATGCCCACCCCGATGCAGCATGGAATGATATCAGAAAAGCTGTGGAAACAGCAGTGATATCTGCTAGTAAGGTAAACCAGAAGGTAAGGGAGCAACACTGGATCTCAGCAGCATCGATCTCACTGATAGATGCTCGGAAACTCATTCCATCTGGCTCTGAACATAACGAAGAGAGGATTCAGCTTAAACGCAAGCTGACAAGAAGGCTACGCAATGATCGTGAACAGTGGTGGGTAGCGAAAGCAAGAGAGATGGAAAAGGCAGCGGCAATAGGTAGTAGCAGACAATTGTTTAGACTCGTTAAGGAAACCGGAATTAGGAACCCGACCGTTAGCGAAACAATCTCAGAGAAAGATGGACATATTATTCATTCTCAATCCAGGAGATTGGATCGATGGGCAGAACACTTTAGGGATCAGTTCAACTGGCCTTCAGCCACACTTCGGTTTCCCACGATCTGCAGTCAACCTGAATGGCAAGTTAATGTAAGTCCTCCGTCCCTTTACGAAGTTGAAAAAGCCATAGGAAATCTGAAGCGAGGGAGAGCAGCAGGCCCTGACAGGTTTACTCCTGAGATTTTTAAGGATGGTGGTCCAGTATTAGCAATGAGATTAACCGAGGTCTTAGGTAGAATTTGGGAACTGGAAGTAATCCCATCTGACTGGTCTCAATCACTGATTGTGCCAGTCTATAAGAAAGGACAAAAATCCTCTTGTGACAATCACAGAGGAATCAGTTTGACTAATATAGTGTCTAAAATATTAGCTTCAATAATACTTCGACGCCTAACTAAAGCTCGTGAAGAGCAGACTAGAGAAAACCAGGCTGGTTTTCGACCTGGACGTGGTTGTATAGATCAGATATTCACACTACGTCAGGTTCTAGAACACAGACACACATTCAGACGCCCCACAATGGTAGTATTTCTCGACCTTAAGGCGGCATTCGACTCTATTGATCGTGAGGTTCTATGGCAGTGTTTGTCACTGAAAGGAGTACCAAAGAAGTACATTAACCTTATAAAGGCTCTCTACTCGAACACAACTGGTAGAGTGAGAGCTTATGGCGAACTGTCATCAGAATTGATTACCTCAAGTGGTGTTCGTCAGGGCTGTCCACTCTCCCCATTCTTGTTCAACTTTGTGGTCGACGTACTTTTAGAGATAACACTCTCCTCATCTAAATTTCCAGGGGTTGAACTTCTACCGGGAGGTTCACTTGTTGACTTAGAATATGCCGATGACATAGTTTTATTTGGTGAAGACGCTGACAAAATGCAGAGTCTTCTGACCACTCTAAGCAACAATACAAGCATGTTCGGGATGCGATTCTCTCCCTCGAAATGTAAAATGTTGCTTCAGGATTGGGTTACATCGACACCCGAACTAGTGATAGGGAGTGAAGTAGTTGAGTGTGTCGACCACTTCACTCATCTTGGAAGTCTCATCAGCCCTTGTGGTTTAGTGTGTGACGAAATCTCAGCACGGATACAGAAGGCTCGACTAGCTTTTGCCAACTTGCGTCATTTATGGCGTAGGCGAGATATCCGTCTATCAACCAAAGGACGTGTTTAGTGTGCAGCAGTTCGTTCCGTCCTACTTTATGGCAGTGAAACATGGCCGGTAAGAGTAGAGGATATCCGTAGGTTACTAGTATTTGATCATAGGTGTCTTCGAAACATTGCTCATATATCATGGGACCATCGAGTAAGTAACACAGTTGTTAGGAAACGGGTACTAGGTAAGGATGGCAAATCAATTGATGAAATAGTGAAACTTCATCAGTTGAGATGGCTGGGACACGTGTTACGTATGCCCAACGACCGACTGCCTCGACGTGCTATGTTCAGTGGTATAGGAGTAGGTTGGAAGAAATCTAGGGGCGGCCAAACCAAAACATGGCACAAGTCCATGAAGTCACTGACAAATGAACTGAGTCATGTTGGTAGGTGTAGACTACCTGGTTGGGGACCGCGAGATGACAGCAACCGATGGTTAGAGACCCTGAATGACATGGCTCAAAATCGTTTGCAATGGCGCAGGTGCAACCACTCTCTGTGTTCTCCCAAATTCTAATCTTCTGAATTCTTCATGTCCCTTTTTTCCTCTTTCCAAATTTCTTTCACTGGATTATACTCTTTAAATAACATCTCCAAACCCTAATCTTCCCGATTACTGCTTATACTCTTATTACCTCTACCACTACGGGATTTGAATCGACAAGTGCATCTCTGTGCTAATGTGGTGTGGCAACTCGAACTGATGTACGTACGTACGAATTTCTATGTTGTTACTGACTGACTGACTGACATTGAAACAAAAACTTTATGAGATATTGGCAATAAAATAAACCGAAGAAACTGGCTTCACTGCCCAGTGAGAGAATACATAAATTATTTAACTCACTTTTTGATAACGCTCAGTAAACCAAACCTCAGAAAATTTTAACGTAAGAATGTATTCTCCATCAGATGTTATCGGAATAGGATAAGAAAAGTCTTCGTTGTGATACCGTTCAGTTTGATAGATTATATGATCTGCTGAGGGGACACGGTTTATTGCGAACGAGCGGCCGTAGTCCGATGCAGTACCCATGTCTAAGAAATCAGCTTTATATTCGACTCCATGTGAATCGATGTGTTTAGGGCCACCACAATTAACGGCCCATACTACTTCCCCACGAACATAGTCAAGAAATAGGAGGGAGAAGAATATTATAAACATTGGTTTAGGAAGATCGATTCAATGTTGCCAATAAAATACTAGATGTACACCCTGAAGTAGAAAGCGTGGGGTAAAGTAAATGTTAAAAAATGAAACCATCTCAGAATTGCAAACATATACATGACACTAAAACTGAGATTCGAATACGGATTTATTTTATGTGATCATTATTTTATCCAGTAAAAATTTTGATCCTGTAAATATAATTACAGATTTACAAAATTTCATGTGGAAATGATGTGCTGATTTTGGTCTTTATAATTCGCAGCCAGGTCTATCAGGGTGATGTCAAACAACACTTTTCAGATTAGAGAATAATTCTTTCTAGAAATTTCATGCAATTGGTTCCCTTTATGAATTTAAATAGAGCAAGAACAAACATTGATGCAGAATAGTATGAATTCATAATATTTCGAGGTTTCTCATCAGCTGCTTACAACCAAAAATGTGATAGAATTTTTACATTGAAATAGTGTGAAGCAAGTGATAGAAATGAGTGTAAATAACTGGATTACAATAACAACTATATATATATATGCTAGAACAGGTTAGAAGTTAAAAAAATGGGATTAATTTTGGGAGGGTGTTGTAATGGTTTAGTGAAGTTCATAAATTGTGTGATAATTTTGGTGATTAATGGAATTCAATAATGATAAGATAGGTCACGTAATGATAATTAAATAGAAGTTGAAAAGTTAAGATAACTTAACCTCGAAATATTATGAATTCATACTATTCTGTATCAGTGTTTGTTCTTGCTCTATTTTAATTCTTTTTAAATTTTTCACTTTTGAAAACGTCCACAATGAAATAGCAGAAATTATTTAAGTATTTCGTTGTTAAGACAACGTTAAGTAATATCAGTAATTCGAAAACTTTTAGCTAATGAATATCGAAAACTCCAGTTTTGAGATACATGGTCTTAAATCTTGGTGGATTTTACTTCAGTGCTGGCTGACTACGTGGCATTCACCTTACATGTGATTTTATAACGACTATTTTTTATTCAGAACATTTAGGTCTTTGGTGATCACTGGGTACTGCAGCAGATGAATTATTTTGCAATTGATTTAGAAACATTGAGTAAGCAGTATAGACTCCATCTATCTCCCACAAACTTGCATTTACGTATACATAACGTGCGAACTAGGTTTTAAAAAAGGCATAAAGAGGATATACAACAAGAAAGTAGTATGCTATTGTTGCAAAGAAATAGGAGTACGAGATCGTATGACTGGTAAATGGAAGAGTAGGGTGTAAAATAAAAAGGAAGTGAGTTTTAAAAAAATACGACTGGGATAAGTCCATTTCGGTTAACAAGGTTTAAAATACACATATAAATAGCACAGTAGAAAAACTACAGAAAACTTACTACTGGCTTTTATTATGAACCACGTGATGGGGCTTTCAGTGACCAAAAGGGTGTCATCTACCAAAAACACCCCAGCCATACACCCACATTTTATACAACGACACCTACTATTGTGTTTTTGTTACCTTTTTGAATGGATATCTGGTTCAGGTAATTAGATTATAGCAGCCAGGTAATATTAACTTTCACTCAAAAGTCATAACTCAAAGACAAATGTGTAATATTTGGTTTGTTGACTACTATCTATAAAGCGCACAGTCAAAGCTAAAGCACTTCAGACCGGTGAAAATCAGCATCATATTAAACAAACCACAATAAACAAGCACCAGTTTTCAGCCCCTTGACACCAAAAATCACTTTGATGATGGAGGTTAGCAGCGCAAAGATGCCAGAATAATACATTGTATGTGACTCATCGTTTAACACAACAATCGCAAATTTTAAGGTACTGTTTAGAGTTATACGACTATAAACGTAAATGTCAACCTGTGATAGCGTAGGACGAGTCGCAAAATACCCAGAAGTCTTGTTAGATATCTAGAAGCACTGATAACATACGATGGTGTAGATATTTTCAATGTGACTTGTAATGTATTATCTTCATTCTAGGACACAGTATTTTCACAAGTTGTGCTCACTCCAAGAGTAATAAGAAATATATGCATGTTCGTTTGATATTTCATAAACTGAAAGTCAACAAGTTAATGTTGTCGTGTCTATTTAAATAAAAATGTCTATGAATCCCTTAAGAACTTACTCTAGAAATGACACGACTACCCGACCTTCAATTCAAACAGAAGGTAACAAAGTAATTAAATATCCAATCGAGAAGTCCAATCATTAGATTCACATATGTGTATTGAGGACAGTAGGCCTACGGCCTGTGTTATTCCTCTTTTAGTTTGCTTCTGTGAATGTTTGGTCTTCTCTTGAATGAAGCAACTGAAGTCGAGGACACCACTGTTTTGTGTAACTGGTTCAAAGAATTGACGAACAGGTGTGAAAATCAGTATGTTGCAGATATTTTGTCCGTTCTTCGATTTTCTACTCACCTGCTATGTCCATTGAGATGTCCCGATTTAGTGGACAGAAAAGGAGAGGATACATCCAGTCCAAAAGCGTTTGTTAATGTACAAAAATCAATTAATATGTTCCCATTTACACGAGTCATCCATTTTTCGCACCTTATCAGATCCTTCGCTCAAGCCTAAGCAAACAACATTCACTAATTTTCAACTGCCTAACGCCTCTGTTTATTCCTACCTTACTGTAAGGAGGCTTTTTGTGCCAGATAAATGGTCTTTTGACTATTCTTTTCAGTATTTTAACTACAACAATGATGAGGTTGACAGGTCTGCAGTTTGATGGAGTTGCTTTGGTCCTGTTTTGTGTACTGGAGTGATGAATGCATCCTTCCAGTCCGTAGGTGAAACATCATGGTCAAGTTACATATTGAATATCAAAGTTAGTGGGGCTACATTTGTCTCAGGATTTTGGGGTGTAGTTCATTCGAGGTTGTTGACTTTTCCGTGACTAAAATGCCAAGGGTCTTTAATACGTCGTCTCCAGCGAAGTCTACAGAGAGCAGGCGGTTTGTTGACTTCGTATTTTGGTCTAGGTCCTCGTTTAAAAGGGCTCCTGAGTGAAAACTGCACCAAAATAGTTTGCAAATGTCTGTGCTATTTTCTAATCATCCTCTATCATTTCAGATTGTTCTGTCATTATTTAGGTTGTATATCTAGCGCTGCATCCTTGTTCTGTAATTCATGTACGAGAATAGTCTCTTTGGGTTGCTGGGTAATAGTTTGTGACGAGTGTGTAGTGACTCACGTTTATCACGAGAACACGACTGGTTTAATAAAAACAATTATTATTATAACCAACTGTACCAGTGTTTGTTTTAATGTGCTTTTGTTTAACTGTGCTAATTATAGCCATTTTGTGCTTCCATTACTTTCCATTATTGTTCCGCGGTTTTTGGTACTGTTCGCACGTACTCCTGTCTTCTGCTTCTACTTGTACCACTTCTTGGCACGATCTCGGTATTCGTTCAATACCACGAGATCGCCAACGAAATAAATCTGGTTACGTTCGATCCTCGCCTTCTGATTTGTCTGGCACGTGTTTCTTGGTAGCGGTGTTCACAGTTAATCTCAACTCGACACCACGCTACAATTGGTGATCCCAAAGTTTGGAACACGCCTCAACCTCGGGTCAAATCTTCCAAAGAAGTCAATTTGGTGAGTCTATTATTTATCTATCCACGTCTGTCGTATATTTTCATATTAATTTTTAATATATAATATACACGACATGACGGATAGCGACAAGAATACTATTAATGTTATAGACTCAGACGTACAGGCCATTCATTTTCGACCTGTATCATTTATCCCCCATGACCCTGAGGTCTGGTTTGCTGCAATAGAGTCTCAGTTTGAGACTCGTCGCATCACGAACCAAAGGCAAAAATACGCCTACGCTCTCGAATCGTTACCCGGGGACCATTTGGTAGCTGTTCGTGAGGTCGTCCTCAATTCTAACGTGCCTAATGCTTATGACCGCCTCAAGGAGGCAATTCTCCGACATTTCCTCCTATCGAGGGAGGAACGATTGAGGACTCTGTTAGCACGTCACCCCCTGGGTGATGCTAAACCAAGCCATCACCTCACGCGCCTGCAATCTCTTGCAGGACCAACAGCATCTGACTCGGAGATAGTTAAGGAATTATGGCTCGAGTCACTTCCAGCGCATATCCAACCCACTGTGACGGCACTGCTCGAGGACTCACCGCTTAACCAGGTAGCCCTCTAACCAGGTAGCCCTCATAGCAAATAAAATTTTAGCGAGGACTAGCAATAAAGATACCTATGTAGTTGCTTCAACGGCACGTCCTAAAGTAGACTTGGACGCCGGTCATTCCTCAGCTCATGGCGACAGGAACGGGTGTATCCACACACGTCTTAGTTTTCGAGACCGTTGTAACGTACCCCAACCCTACGTCCCCCGAGCTCGCTCAAGTTCTCGCAAACCCGTCACCACTCGCCCAATAAGGGCATCTTCCAGGCCACGTCGAAAGGCGGCTACGGAAGCGAGTGACAGTTGGTGCTGGTTCCATAGGTCCTTCGGGTCTGGCGCCCGCCGTTGTCGAGCACCATGCTCATACAAGGCGGGAAACGCCAGCGCCGGCGAGTAAAAGCGGCCGTACTCGCCGGCCCTTCTCCCCAGGTTGGTCGCCTATTCTATGTGCACGATTATCGCACAAACGCTAGGTTCCTAGTAGACACTGGGGCCCAAGTTTCTGTCGTACCACGAGGTAGCAGCAAGTCACAAGCCACAGTGCTTCGACTACGCGCTGCGAATGGCTCAGTCATTCCTACCTACGGTACACGACAACTCGTGGTCAACCTGGGCAACCGACGACGGTATCTGTGGACGTTCATCATTGCTGATGTTCCCACAGCCATACTAGGTATCGATTTTCTACAGCACTATGAATCGCTTGTCGATTCACGTAGGCTGCAGCTAATCGATACTTCGTCGAACAGCAAATTCATGGGCTGTAAAGCCCACATGAACGCGTACCGAATCCTCGGCACTTTTTACTCGCGTGACGATAAATTCCACG